CGAGAAATGTAAACAATCGAAAACATTTCTCACAAAGGCGGAAACGACCCTCCTCCCTCCAATGCCCAAGTACGAACCCTGTCGCTGGAATCCCTAACGTGTGTCGTTTCCTGTTGCCGATGTATTGCCCCTTAGTGCTGATGCCATTGCTGAAATCACGCTCGATCACTGATGGGATAGGATTTGTAACGATCTCGTTCATGTCATGGATTCGGCATGTGCCCACAGTTCGAGAGAAAAACTCGGAGCATTAGGTACAGGTTTACTTTGAAGCATAAATACAGGTTTACTTTGAAACATAAATACAGGTTTACTTTGAAACATAACTATTTGGCACTTATGTTGGATTCATCACCTTTCGAGGGGAACCTCAACCGACCCACTTTTTAATCGCTAAAATTTGCACATTACCGAGGGGAGTTCTTTATAGCTGCTGAAATCGACCGGGTCGGACTCGCAGTTTGTGGCTGTCCTACAGTTCGCGCAATTCGCGACTTGAATTACAGTCGTTACCACCAAAGTCAGCGGTGGTGCCAGGGGCTTGGGTTTGGCGCGACGCCAGCATGTATTCTTAGCGGCTTCGCTCAGGAAGTATGTGACAAGAGAATCGTAATTCACCGCGCTGGTGGGCGTCGCGTGCGACGTCGCGCCCGCAAATGACGATGGTTCCAGGTAGTAGATGGCGACAACAGGCAATTCAGAACCGAAAATAGTCATGAATGTCTACGATGACGGGGTCTACATGAAGTCCGGTGCTCCAGTCGACAGGTTAACACGAGTTAAGAAAACGCCGCGCCCATCGCCGCGCGCGGCGGAGCGGCAAATTACGATTCTCTTGCCCGTCTCCCTGGGAAAGGGGTGTGTGAATTGTAACATAATTAGCACCAAAAGTCAGTGTATTTGCATAAAACCTAAAATCGAAAGTTTACTTTAAACTTTTCTGTGGTGAATACTCAGCGAAGAATTGTGTGAAAAGGTTTAGAATAGAGGAAAAAAAGCGTTTTACTCACCTCTTGAGATTGTCTAGGGCTTTTGTGAGACATAGAAGCATTGCTGTATATGTGAAAGTTTCGCGAGACATTTGTACTTTTCGGAAAGTAGTCCTCCTTGTGGGAGACCAGCAGCTGGATTACAATACGGTCTACATTGTTCGTAGCCCGGTTCGAATACGTTGTATGCTTCACAACAAGCAGTGGCGTCCTCATATCCAGAAGCACATACCATAATGTCGGCCATTTTGCTCAGTGGACATCGTCCAGTTAGAACTGCTAATTGCATCTGAAACGGACTTCTTTTGCCAGAGACTTTTGTGGTTTTTTTGGAATGTTTTCGGAGCTAAATTGGATAGGGTGGAAGGGAGGGGGAGGGTAGGACCCAAGTCGGCAGTTTCTCAGTATCCCCTCCCCTGATTAATGCTAAGGCATGAAGGATCCTCTCGAAGTTGAATTGGAAGGAAAGCTCTCGCTGTTTATGAGTCTCTTTCTGGGATGCGGCGCGGGCGCAGTTCGGCAAGGGGGGGGCATTTTGTACTTTCATTGCTTCCCTAGTTCCGGTTTACAAGTCTCACTCTGGTGAAACCTGTGAACTCTTGTGAAGCTGGAGCAAGGTCGTCAAGCCATCGGGAAACCTGTCAACTCGAGAAGAGGCTGTCTAGATAGGTCGACACGTCGATGGGAAAGTAGCAAAAGTGCAAAATGCCCCCCCCCCGTCGCCGAACAGCGCCTGCGCCACGTATTCTACTTCCATTCAGAATCGTAGTGAGTTATTGAACGCGATGTGGCCTATACAATGACTTGCGGGGCCAGCCGGATGTGAAAGTGAGTGTTCTTATCCACCCAGTCAAAATTGTGACCGATTTTCCGCGAAAGTGAGAAGACTTAGCTGACCTAGTGGGATCCGACGGACTGTGACCCCGGACCTTGAACTACTTATATTAAATTTTAAGTGAAATCAAACGTACCGTAGCTAAGGGGGCATCGTAGTTGCAAAGTGGCGTACATCCGTCTCCAAGTCTAGCACAACAAGTGAGAAACCGATCGTTTGCTTGTTGTTTTGTAATACAAGGTAACCATCCGGGTTGTCGAGGACACTGCAATTTTTCACTGATTTTTTTGAACTTTGCCTTGAAACTATGGGAAGTGCATTACCTGCTGTGGTGGAATTGCAGGTACGGGGCCCTTACCGTCCACGTACTTCTGTAGATTGATTGGGGCAGCATCTATACTTGGTGAAGCTCTTGGAAGAGCCATGGGCATCTGGAATTGATTATTTTTATGGAATAATCTGACATCTTCTCACTCTAAAAAAAGGGATCAGCATAAATTCAAATGTAATATGCACATGAATAGAAAGTTTTTGAGTATGCAGTGAGTGCGTAATTTGGCTAGGGCTCAAAATGTCCAGTAGAAAGCAAACCAGGCCCCTGAGTAGGCGATATATATCATACTTTGCTTTAGAAGTGGCGACCCAAAAGCTACTTGGCACTGCCCAACTATCTACTGACTCGATTGCAGTTTCGGCCTCCAAATCGGGGCTCTTCATTCAGCAGAAACTAAAACGAAGCGGTCGTGTTTCGCTGCTATGGCGGGGGGGGGGGGGGGGATGCCACACGGCCTCGAGAGGGTTTTTTTTCCGATCGTTGATCACTCTCGTTTCCCGCGAACTGTCATACCTCCCCATTATACCAACCCATACTTTACCGGACTGTTTGGAAAGTTGATAAGCATGGTGGGGAGTGGACAGGGCGAGGTTTGTGTCGAGAAAGTATGCTGGCCATCCAAGAGAACTACGTATAAAACTACATTTCTGATTTGATTGGAAGTACCTCCACCTCCCTTCCAACTCAAATCCAGTTTTTGGGTAAGTCGAAAATTTGTTGAGGAGTTGGAAAATTCTGGTACGATCTCGACTTACCGGAATGTTCCAACTCCCTAACAAATTTTCGACTTTACTTTTGACTTGTATGCGAACGGGTATTGCACCAGAGGAGGAGTTTCTGGGATATCGCACTTGAGGAGAGTTTTCGGGATGTCGTACTTCAGGAGGATTTCTGGGGTCTCTGCTCCCATTTCACCTCTTTCGATCTTTACCCTTTTTAAACGGGCTTGTATAAAAAGTTCATTACCCATTAAAACGCGGAAATTTCAGAAGGTCGCACTGGAAGAAGAACTCGGGGTGTACTAAATCCACCAGTTCACCCGTTCCGATACTGGCTTGTCTAGAAGTTCGTTACCCACCCAAACGCATCTGAGATTCAGTATGAGAGAAATCTTTGGCACAAAACCCAAGGTCCGATTGAATTGAGGTCAGCTGGGTTTAATGTACAAAAAGTGCCATCTAGGAGTTTCTGATTAGATGGAGTAAACATGCCTTCTGAGCTTGAGGTTGATTGGCGGGATATCGAGATAGTGGTTGTTGGTTGCTTTGCTTAAAAGTTGACTTTTGCAATAGTAAGCATATTATTTGAGCACTATTCATCTTCCACTGCACCACTGTTGGAGGGTCAGGCCCCACTCTCCTGGGACAGATTTGCTAGAAGAAAAATCCAGACCCGAATATCCTATCCGCGTAGAGCTAAAGCGCCTGGCACCAACGCCACGGGAACCGGCGCTGGAAGATAGATTGACGCCGATGATCGTTCCAAACGTTTTTGCGCTAAGAGGATGTGGTGTGCGTATTCAGGGGTCCAACTACCCTATGTGAAAATTTTCTAGCGGGATCTCCCCACGGAATCTGGCTCGAAATTCAGAGAGTGGGGTAGTGAGGGTGAATAGTGCCTATCTCGTGAGCTGAATTTCAAGTAAAAAAATCAACTACATGAAAATTATATTCACTCAAAAAAGGGCGCAGTTCGGCGATGGGGGGGGGGAATTTTGCACTTTTGCTGTCACACAGGTTCCAGTTTACTCTGTGGAGCTTGCTCCAGCTTCACAAGAGTTTACAGGTCTCACTCTAGTTAAACCTGTGAACTTTTGTGAAGCTGAAGCGAGCTCCTCGAGCTGCCATGGTAGAACCTGTCAACTCTTGTAATCTCATGAAATGGTTCTGTAGAAGGGACGACACGTCGATGGGACAAAGTGCAAAATGCCCCCCTCCCCCACCTTCTCGCCGAAGAAAAAAAAGGTAGGAAATACCTGCGTATTTCTCTGCATGTTGTAAGTTTCCGTTCTGTTGGCCATAGGCGGTTTGAAGCGGTTGTGGCTGAGCAGCAGGGACTTGTTGTTGAGCGGGATACTGTTGCTGTTGGCCTGGATAGGCTTGTACAGTCGGGCGGGCTTGAGTGTTGTAGTTGTTCGGACGCTGTTGGTCATACTGCAGTTGCTGTTGCTGGCCGTAATAAGACCCCTGCTGAGGTTGTTGTTGGGCTAGTGATGGCTGTTGTAGTGGTTGATTAGCCGCGAAACCGGTTTGTTGTGGCGCGAACGGGTTCGGAGCCGGTGTCACCTGAATCAAAGCAATCACTTAAAGTTATTGATGGCTAGCAAAATGAAAAATAATAAAGATAATTTGTTTCGTGAGGCTCACCTGTCCTAGGCCTCCCAAATTGAAAAGGCCGAAAGGATCCAGTAAGGATTGTGCGCTGCCTGCACCACCCTGAACAGATGATCACTTTTGCTGTCGTGATAGACTTTTAGACTTCAGGGGACAGCTTCCACGATGAAAGGCGGTTGGGGGGCATCTATGAAGGAGGGAATAACAAGGGGTAAAAAGCCGATGAAACTGCTGAAAATCCATACAACAGTATCCTGATTCTGGCCTATTTTTTGAGGGGGTGGCAGTCGTTTGGCACGATCAAGTTGCCATTGACTTGTCATGACATCTCATCTGACTGTTCTCCCAGCTCGGATAACTCGTCCGTATCAATAAACCATCGAGCTTTTTTACGTGGCATTTTTCTTCACATTTGAAGTTGGCTTCGAGGCTCCCGCTTCAGGGCGTCTCTTCGCAGTCATCAAAGAATATTCTGTCCGGACGAGTTATCCGACTTTGAAGAGGACACATGTTTCAACAAGAAACATCTGTGGCAAGTTTCTCATGGGAAAAAGATCTAATCTGAGCCTTTCGTGAGATTCTGCATTAAGTCCTCTCCGACACTCCCCTCTCCGATAGGCCCAAAAGGCGATCGATGTGAAAGGCCGTTGAAGGCACATTCCGCGGCGGAGTTACCCAAATTTTGGCGATTCTCTCCCATTTGCTTTCTGAGATGAGGGCGTCCCAGGGAACAGGGCGCATTTGTGTAGGAGACCCCGTCCGTAGCACTGCAGAGCGGAAAGTATTCAATCAAAGGCCTATCGGCCTGGGCAGGCTCACTCTAGATTTCCGGTATTATTCTTGTGAAGTGGGGTGGAAATGGATGAGGCTGGCTACTCTGGGCGGGTCGGGCCTTTGTAGGGGACCCCTGGCGGCCTTGTTATACACTTTTGATCCGCGAATGTAAGTGGCAAGGCCGCTAGAGATCTCCCTGTATAGTAGATTACGGGGTTCCTGCTGCAAATAAATGGTTCTGCACATCTAGTAATGGGTGATCATGCCTTTAATCGTGGAAACTGCCGGCTTACCAGTAGGCTTACCTGTTGCATGAACGGCTGGAACGGATTTAGCAGTGGTGATGGTGTTTGTTGTTGAGGGTACTGAAATCCTCCCTGATTTTGTTGTCCCTGTTGGAAGAAGGGTTGTCCGAATGTGCTGGCAGGTTGTTGGAAAGGATCCTGATTAGTGGTGTAGTACGGCGTTTGCACCTGTGCTTGTTGATATTGTGGCTGCTGCTGTAAGGAGTATCCACCCTGCTGAGCGTTCCTGCTATAATCTGGCATCGGTTGAGCCAAATCAGCTGGTTGCTGTGCAAGACGGGTATTGATTTCGTTAGGCCGTGGTGCAGCTAGAAGTGGTGCCAAAGTGGACACGTACTGCTGTTGTTGTGGGTATTGAATGGCTGGTACTTGGGTTTGTGGAGCTGCAAATTGGGCGTTGTGGTATGGTTGTTGGTAACGGACATCTCTTGGTGCCTGCAATAAAGTTCAGAAGTTATAAAAATTTTGGGGAAAACTTTAGCGCAGGTGTAGCACGGGTACGCTACTATTTGGTGAAGGCAGTGGGCACGATGGCTGGCTGGGACGGGAGGTTGCTGCCAACGTCATTGGTGGAAGGGCTGAATGGGGTGTGGCCAAACGCCCTCTCGCAGCCTTCCACCAATGACGTCGGCAGCAACCGCCCGCCCTTAGCGATCGTGTCCACTGCCGTCAACCCTTAGGAAATGACGTACTATCTAGCCCTAATGCGCATAAAGCTCACAGGACACGTCATTAACGTGTTATGTGACGTCAGTGACACACCATCTTAGGGCACATCGTTGTTGGGGAATTCCCGACAGGGGGTCGTATTTGGTCGCCAGGAGAGGGGGTCGTATTTGGGCTGGGAAAAATTTATTTTGATAGTTGATTTTTCTCGCTTCACGGACGTTGTAAGGGGGGGGTCGTACTTGCTCGTTGTTGGGAGGGGAGGTCGTATTTTTTTCTGTGTACTTTCTGGCCTTCTGTGAGAGGTGGTTGAATTTCTGTTTTTCCTGTTTCATGCGTATTATCTATACACCCCTCCCCCCGCTCGACAGCAAAATTTTTGGGTAAAAGTAGGGAATTTCTCGGGAAATTTTGGAAAAGTGGCAGGAAGTTGGGGAAAATCTGAGAGTTGGTAGAAGGGGTTGTACTTTTCTCGAGGCTTTTCCCGTTTCACATGTGCCATGTGCTATCTACCTCCCCCCTCTCTCAGAGGGGGCCGGAGGGGGGGGGGTCGAAGCAACCCCCGAAAAAAAGGGGGCGTCGTACGGACTCGACCAAAGTCCCCAACCATTAATGTGCTCTGCGTCATCTTAACAGGGTCTCCTTAACA